GGGAGGTGGTGGCAAGATGGGGTACTTAAGCTTTAAAGGTCTGTAATATAAAAAATTACATAGTGAAACAATCATATTTATTTTTTATATAACAACTAATTATTATTATTATATATATATATCATTAGGAACTTTAGGTAACACATTGGAGAGAAAAAAAAAATAAAATAAAAAAAAGGTGTTTTGCCCCGTCTTGCCCCATGGTGCTGGTAAGATGGGGTACCCCCCTGAGGTAAGATGGGGTGATGAGAATGATCCTATGATCTCTGTAGAACGATGATTATTCGAGCTGGAAGTGTTCTTCCGTAGACATGGATGGCTTCATCATCACCATCATCTTACTTCTACGCAGCTATTATGAGTCCATCTTCCACTTAATGAGCATGATATCCACCCTTCAATGGAAACGGAACAAACTTCATCACAATACATACATGGTGTGTTCCCCCATCTTCACTTTCATCTTCAGATGTTGAAACTCTTCATTGTTTTGCTGTTTTCGATGATCGGCTATTCTTCTTTAATTTTTTATTTTGATCTTTTGTAGTAGTTTTCTTGTTTTTTTTTATATTCATCTTTTCTCTTTTTTGTTTCTATTTTCTACAGTTTTTCTGTTCAGCTCTGTTTTTTTTTGTGGGCGATGACTTCTAATTCTTTTTTGTAGGAGACGTGATAATTGCTGTGTGTCCACGCTTTTTAGCAACATGAGAGGATTTCCTTAGGAAGCCATAACTTTTCTCTCTATAACTCTTCGCTTCTCGCATGGATTCTTCGGACCACGACCGACGACGTTAGTCGTAGAATCATTCTAAAAAGACAAACTCACAAAAACGAACTCATTTTTCGGAAAACAAACTAGAACCAAATTATTCTCATCAGTTACCCCATCTTGCCTGCAGAGCCCTTTTATATAAAAAAATAAATAAAAGCAAAACAGTCAATAATATTTAAAGAACACAATGCCTACTTTTTTATAGATTAGTTTAAGCATCAATCACAACAACACCTCATCAGCTAACGTTATTTAACAAACCACAGTCACGTGTTAAGCCAGAAGAAAATGTGATAAACAACTTGCAATAAAACACTTATTTTGCATTTTTTTCGACACTGTGCACTTGTGAACCACTAAACACCCGGCGACTGATAAGTCTCATGGTGCCGCGTCGCACGATGATTGAAAGAGCGTGATTGATCAATTTAAACTGTAAATTTTGTTGGGTACCCCGTCTTACCCACTACCCCATCTTACCTCCATCTCCCCTACCTACATTAAAAGATAATTTTTGACATGTATGAAATGTATGAAAGAAATGTATGTACCTACATTAAAATATAATTTTTGAAATGTATGCACCGTACAATAACAATACACGTTAAACATCATACCACAGAGTCATACGCAAGTTAAAAACAAACTGCTATGATATTAATGAGAAAGGAAAATCAACTTTATGGTATTAGAGTTAGGGTCGATTTCTCTCTTTTTTTTAAAACTATTTTAAACTTACCAGTTGCCAGTATTCGAAGACAGCTACGATTCGTACTCGATATTTTTAATTATTATGTATTCGATTTTTCAACACAAATGTAAATAACAACCAACGACACTAATAATGTACTACTATATTCCGGTCATTGAAACGGAACACTGCTATAATACAAAATAATGAAAATTTACTGTTCACAACGACTCATTAAAAGCATCATCGAATAATGCGCTGTAATAAAATCCTGTTATCGATTATTCAAAAAAATCGATAATACATGTATTTATTTTTAATATGACAACACTTCATACATAAGTATTATTGGAAATAGTATTACTTGCTTGTTCGGCTATTTTTAATTTACTTAAAAATTTTTTATATGTTTAATTTACAATAATAATATATTAAGTGCTTATTATTGGAAAATATAAAAAAGACATTTAATTAGGCCGATACAAATGACGACAATGCCATCTATGAAAGCATTTTGAAAACATTGAGCCCCATATTAGCACTGATTAAAGTGTAATTAAGTACTGGAAAATAACAAAATGAGTAAATATATGAAAATTACTTTTCTAAACGCATTATTTCATTTTAACATGTATATATAACTTTTTAAAAATTGATTAAACATTTTTGAAAACACAGTTTTGTTTTTTAAAACGTTTGCAAAACTATGAAGAATTCCATCGATACCACAAGAGCAAACTGACAGACAAACATATATTGTTTTAATTGCCATCTTTTTTTATACAACTATGAAGTTGTATAAAAAAAGAATTTTGTAAAAAGCTGTTAAATTGATATTATCAACGTGAAGCTTGTATCAGTCTGGGTGTATTCTATGTATATTATGTATGTATTTACAAAAAAAATATCTAAGTATTTATATCAGTTGTCATAGTACCTATAACACAAGCTCTGCTTACCATGGGACTTGATGGTGCTATGTTAATTGTCCAGGTTTATTATTATTATTGCCAACTATGAGCTTAGAACAGACAGGCTCGCATGTCCCTGGATATATTTGAATGCTAGTAGACTAATCTGCCACTTTCTCTCGGTTCACAAATATTTTTATGTGTCGGTCATATTTGAACTCAGGACTTTGTCGATAGTAAACCATTGGGCCTTGGTGCTTAACTGTATTTGTATCTTTTTATCTATATAATAATAATAATCTCGGGACAATTCACACAGCGCCATCTAGTCCTAAGTTAAGTTAGCTAAAGCTGATGTTATAGGATAACTGATACAAAAACATAGATATTTTTTTCGTAAATATATACGTATTATACATAGAAAACACCCAGACCGATACAAACAATCATACTCATGAATACAAATGTTTGTGCTGTGCAAGTGTTCGAACCCGTGACCATCGGTGTAAGGCGTTAAACCGCTGGACCACCGAGGCCGTCAAGTATATAAGCAAAAGAAAATATTTAAGGGTCTACAACGCGCATGTGACACCCCTGATGTATCAGGTGTCCACATGCTACGGTAACCAATTACCATTAGACGGGCCGTATGCTTGTTTGCCTCCATCGTAGGGGTAGAGGGGTTTATAAAAATTAAACATACAAAACATTTCTAATATAGAAAATATATTATTACAAATATACAAGAATAAATAAAATTACTGAAAAACATATATACATATACATAGTTCATCAGAATAATAAATAGGCAATTTAATAAATTTATTTTATATCACAAGAATCTTAATTACGGACGGTTAAAACTAAATTAAGGCTAAACTATAAACCAATATCGTTTATTATTTATTTATTTATTTCATATTATTTCGTTCAGTTTATCATTGTTTAAAAAAAAGCACATTATTTACCTTCGAGGACATGGATGATCAGTCAGTGTTTTGCTCCTGAAGTGATTCTCCACACTGAGCTATGTTTAACAGATAATTAATAATAAGAGAACAAAATTCTTTCAGTGTATTTACACTATTACTTTCTTATTTTATTATCTTATTTTTATTATTAGAATTATAGAGAAAAAATATTTATTCCTATTTATTCTTAGTCTACCGTCCAATTTGTTGGAATAGAATTAAACTCTTCTTCATAACATGCACTACTTGTATATGTATATATATGTATATCTTATTTATTATATATATATATATATATATGTCCAAGTAGAGCAACATAATTATGTACAGACACATAGTACAGACATCAAATTCAAATTGAATTTTACAATACTAATTCTTTTCCCAAATTGTAGTTAAAAATATTGGAATGTACATTTACAATATTTCTATATTACATAATAATATCTGTTTTTAAAATTGAATGGAAAATCCTAATATATATATATATTTCTGAGTTCAATAAGTGACTAGGATAATGTTGTATATAAAATGCATTTAGGTATTATTATATAGATAATTAATACTGACCGATATTACAAACTTAAAAATATTAAGTTGGCATATCAGTAATTAATTACAATAATTATTCTATAACTTTTTAATTAACTTTATTTATTTTATAATTGTCTAACTTATTTCTATGGCATCCTACTAATTCTTTAACAGATGCAAGTGTTTCTTATTTCAAAGATTGGATTTTTTTTACAATTGTAGTTACAGACATAATATTTCCTGCATTATTATTTTTTATGCGGGACAATCGAGCTTGCGGCTTACCTGATGGTAAGTGATTACCGCTACCCATGAGCACCTACAACGCTAGGGGAATTGCAAATGCGTTGCCGGCCTTTTAAGAAGGAATAAGCTCTTTTCTTGAAGGTTTCAATATCATTATACTGAAATCTTCAAGAAAATAGCTTAATATATCGTATAATTATTATAACAGCATCGTAATATTGGGATACACGGTTATATTTCAATGTGTATAATTTTAAACAACCGTGAAAATACTTTGAAATGTATATATAACTATATACTGTGCATATAAATTATTTATTTATTTATTTAATAAAGATTAGTACCTTTATTTTTATTTAATAACTCGCCAAACTGAAGAACAGTTTGTTGGCAAGATATAGCGCAGATTTCTTAATGCTAATATTTACCAACTAGTTACATCTACACATATTTATACAGATATTTAACATTAATTTACCTAAAATTTATATATCTATATATGTATACAATATTAGTGATTTTTTTTAATTGTAGTCTAAATCCACGTTGATGCTTACTCAGAAGTAGAGATATAGTATAATAGAATTTCTCAAGTTGAAATGTGTGAATCAACTAGCACTAATTCAATCAAATACACAAATAGAAAAAAAATTATATATACAAACAATTGGTTGAGTAACAAAATAAGAGTAAATCAGCTGTTGTGATTAGAGCAGACAGTCACTTCAAGCGATACTCGTTCACGAGTATGAGAAATGAGCCAGCCATCTCTGCGCTCGACCATATTTTAGCAGAAATTGATATTTCTATATCTCTACTTATTAATTGAGCAAAGTTGTTCAGATCTACGACTACCTATATCTGGATATCACTTTGAAAATAACCATGGAGGTTTACTGCTAAAATGCGAAAACTGTTTTAACTCATTATCTTAATAACATTATAAACGCGAAAGTTACACAATAATATAACATATTGAAATCAACAACATTCTGAAATGTAACGCAGTTGAAACCGTGAGCACAGCTAAATATTTTATAAAATGTAATGGCAAATGTCATTTGGTCCACACTTCCTTAATGGCAAATCATGATTTGGAATTTCACAATAGAACTATACAGCGCACTCTCAAATGCTCATACCTAATTAAAAACCCTATTTTATTAAAATAACAATCTCTACCCATAACATGTTGGACTCGCGTCTTCTCTTCTTCCATTCAGTATAGGTGTCTTCTCCACTTGGTTTTGTTCTGACGTATTAGTAGTTGTATCTGGTTTCATGTAAGAGAAATCGTTAAAGAGCACCTTAACCTGTAAAAATAGAAACATTTAGTACAAGCTTGTACCCCACAGCATTGTAGGTGTTTTATTAAAAAGTCTGCTATAATGACGGAAATAGTACAGAAGAAATTGGTTGTGGTTTTTGTTACTCTTTGACGCAAAAAGTATTGAACAGATTTTGATGAAATTTCACAGTAATATAGCTTATACATTAATACATAGGCTATAAATATTACGCATATAACATTGCAAAATTGTCGTAAAAAAAGTGTTAATTAATTATGTGTTAATTCGGATTAACATCTATCTATATACCAATTTATATTTCAATCTGCTAAGTAGTTTATACGTGAAAGACTAACAGATTCATCAATGCACAACAGATAAAACGTTTCGCATTTTTTAATATTAAGTAAGGTAGTAATCAGAAATACAAACAACCATCAGATTTATGATCGGTTGCTTTTTATTGATTTTATTTATTACTATTTCCTCTAAATTCTTCTCTTCATTTGCCACCATCGTAGTAAAAAAAGAAATGTGTACACACAATGGAAGTTAAAAGGATAAAATGTCCTACATGAATAAATGATTTTTGAATTTGAAACTTCAACGGACCGCCGTTGTCTTTCTCTCACAAAACGACGGTAAATCGAAAAATTTGTGATCGAAAAATCCTAATACATGCCGATTCAGAAGTTTCACGTCAAAAAACTTACGGCATAATAAACTGTTGCGAAACCAATGATGACGCCAACTAAAACGTCCCACCAGTGGTGGCGGTTGTCAGTGATCCTGGTGAGTGCGCATACGGCGGCTAGAGACATGAAGGTCAGCTGCAGGAACGGTACTAACAGCACAGAGCGATTGCTCCATCTGAAGACACGCGCTTGCAGATACCACTGCAAAAAGAACATTTTACAATTAATCATTTCAAATTTGATATCTATACTTAATAAACGATTTTAGCCACATTTTCTACGTAGAAATAGTAACTTTACTTAAGTTTAATTAAAAGTTACAAAAGTTTTTGTTTATTATTTGAGGACATTCATAAAGCTATGCTATGCAATGATTGCCTTCACACTCAATCTTTGATTTTTTAAAGTTTTAGTGAACTGCCCACCTAGATTTTCTCTTGATCATCAGAATTGGCAACCCATGAGGAATCACATGATGACGTGATAACAGAAGTGTGTTCTGTTATATAAAAAGAAACTGAGTATATTTAGAAGAATAGGTAACTCACCGTTAAGAAGAATCCAGCATAAACACCTAAAGAAGCATGTCCAGAGGGAAAGCTTCTAAAAGAGTCATTTTGGTAGTAAGTTGAGAAATTTCTCGAAGTGCACTTGAAGGTTGTTATGTAATTGGTACTGGAACAGACGAACAGAAACATGTTATTAAATGTCACCGACTGTTTAAGACAGCTTGTATATTACATTATTTTATGTATTTTTTACATTAAATTGTTACTCCTCTGATCTATTACCCGTCCAATTCAATCGGGGATCGAAATTACGACGAAGCCGAGTATCGCATCCCTAGCGTTGCCCTCAGGCTATAGTCGTATCCGTCAGGCGAGAGTTGGCCTTCACCCGCTCCATAAGTTCGCAGGTGCGGGAGTGCTATCTACACACGCCCCCTGTATCGTTCGATGAAGCTGTAAAGAAACTTGCCAGTGCAGTGCTCTTTTAACAGCATTAAAATACATTGAAATAAAATTTTTAATCGATGTATACAAATACTAGCTATGCCCACTGTTTCACCAACGTGAATATATACCTTATACTGATGTATATACTACATTATTGTAAAGTTTCAACAAAATCCCTTCAGTAGATTTTATATGAAAGAGTAACAACTATCCATCCATTCAGCCACACTCAAAGTTCCGCGTTTACAATATTAATAAGATATAGAATATAATATAATAGAAAATCATTTATTAAAATAAACTTACATTGAAGCACTTTTGAATATTCATAAAATTTTTTTTTTAATCTACCGCTCATTCGGAATGCTGTCTCATCACAAGAAGAACAAGCAAGAAACTTGTGTGTTGCTTTTTTAAATAATTTATTCTTACTTACAATTTAAGTTTACATAAGTGTGTGAATACAAACCACCGATTAGCACTAATTCAATGAAATAATAATATGTACCTATTTCCACACGCCCTATTGGTATCAGGCTGACATACATCAAAGAAGTTTGGTCGTGGACTGCCAGTGATGCCCTTCATCACCTCTACCAGTGACAGATTGAAGATCATGCCGTACTGGTACACGAGGACCAGCCATCCAGTGCGGCGAGTCACTTGGAGTAACTTCCCGCGCATTGAAGTACTGCTGTCCACGAAGAATAATTCTGTCACCCAAAACTGTAAGAAATGAATTCATTTATAAAAACCTACATGGAATATTATAATACATGGTTTTTTTGTAATAATAATCATAATATACTTGGATAATTCACGCAGAACCTTCTAGAGCTAAGCTTAAGCTTATGTTTGAGTACTAGACAAAACGATAACGATATTAATACTTATACATAAAAAATACCCAGATCGAAACAATCATACTCATGAATAAAAATATTTGTACCCTTCGAGCAATCGATCCCGCGGCAAAACGGATTTAAAGCAGAGTGCTAATCCGCTAGACCACCGAGGCCGTCACTGACAAATAAGCTAATAGCCTACCCGATAAGTAACCAAATAAATTTATTGACAATATAAATTCATGTTTAAATAATATATTTTAAAGAATATATACAGTATATGAAATTTTATCTTATCTGAGATGAAATTATTTAAATTACATTTTCTATTTTTTTGATTCTTTGAAATATAACCTCATCGTCATAAGTATATCATCACCCGTGCGAAGCCGGGGCGAGTAGGTAGTTACAAAAAACTTATACAAAATTAATTTCTGTTAAATTAATAATTAGTGATTATAATTGGAGACAGATATTATTTATTTTTTGTCATAATGTAATTATTTTACTGATTTATTAACTTTCTTTTATATATGACTAGTTGTCCCGGTGTAAGTACTAAAAAACTAAAAAATTAAAGAATCTACTATTAGACGTTACAAAGAATAAATAAAATAATAATAATAATAATCTCAGGACAATTCACACAGCGCTATCTATAAAGCTTGTGTTATGGGTGCTAGATAACTGATACAAATAGATAGATATATTTTTTTAAGTAAATACATACATATTGCACATAGAAAACACACAGACCGATACAAGCAATCATACTCATGAATACAAATGTTTGTGCCGTACGAGGAATCGAACCCGCGACCATCGGAAGTGTGCTAAACCACCAAAGCCGTCGAAATGTGTAATTGAAGAACTTCCTTTATGTTTAATATAATATAATATAATATAATATAATATAATATAATATAATATAATATAATATAATATAATATAATATAATATAATATATTATATTATATTATATTATATTATATAATATAATATAATATAATATAATATAATATAATATAATATAATATAATATAATATAATATAATATAATATAATATAATATGTGATATCCTTTACCATTATCATGTGTGAGACCAAATATTCAGTGCGGAAACCCGACCTATACCTATGTAAACAAGTAAAGAATGGCAGATGATAGAAACTTACCACCACAACTGGGATTACTATCACACCAACCATCACTGTTACCATCGACACCGTGTCCCCTGTGAATGGGAACGAAAGCTTGGGGTCATTGCAGTAGAAGCCAGCTCTGTAAGACGGTATTACGCCCAACTCGAACAGACCCGTCAGCAATAATACTGCAAAAAAATTTAGTTACTAGTTAGTAGAAGTACTGAAATGAGTTTGAACACGAATGAAAGCAATAATGAGATCATAATGAATTAATTTATAAGAATTGCCTGTTTTTAAGAATGATAATGGAGTGGTGCACCCGCTTGCGCTACCGGGTTACGGTGGCGGGGCACCAGTGGAGGATGATAACATGAGCATGAGATCAGATCAGTTACTATGTATGATAAGAATTCCCATCACGATGGTTTCCAGGGGAACAGCGTGGGAGTCGACCTAATATGGTACATTACTAGCAATAAGATCATCAGTCCACATTACTAACAATCCCCTTTCTCCCTACAAATTGGCTTTTAGCCTCATCACCTGTACAAATATGAAGAATTTTAAAAGTAGACTGGGCTGTACGTGCTTAGGTACTTTGCCTGTTCCATCATTGGAAAAGGACATGGACGAATGTGAGAAAGAAAAAAATGGTGACGTACATTTTTAGGTTATTTTGAATTAGACTTCATTCTTTACTTTAATATTAGTTAATTTTAAAGTATAAAAGCTAATTATAGTTCATTATAGCTACGCAGGCACGTACAAGATCCAGTAAAATCCAGTTTATACTTTTTTTTATTTGCATATCGCAAAGACAATAAGTCCATACAGCCAATAAGATGCGATGACATTAAAATTTGGGCAATGTCACCGTTCCGCATCCGTCACGAGTAACATTGAAAATGGACATTGGCACGTCCCGGCTGCAATCAATTTCGCGAGTCTCTCCCTCTGTTATTTGGCAAGTTCAAAGTCAATGTCGAAATAACAGGAAGAGCCGTGAATTAGTACTCTATTTGGTACTTATGAGTGTTGCGAATTTAGTTATATCGCGCGTCAACACTGTTGCCTTACGACTCGGACCAGAAAATAATACCCTTGTCATTCAGAACCGAATTCTTGTATATTTTTTAAATATACTTCCCAATAAAAATATACACATTTTTTTATTGGGTTATTTGGGCTATTGTCAGATGCTCGGACCTGTAGCACTGCGACCTACGTAGATCTATTGTGTTGTCAGAGTACGCTACCTAGATCCGTCAGGGACAAGAATTGAAGGATATTCTTAGGAGCAATGAGGTGTTTATCTCCTCAGGATTGAGTGTAAACTTTCCAAAGGAGATATAACGTTTTTGCATGTATCGAATATACACATGTACTATCTACAACATATACTTACTATATATGTAAACAGCTACAACTGTTTAATTTCTATTCACCTTCCTTCTCGCTATAAACATAAACTGATTTTGGGACATCATATATTATGTTACGGTCGTTATACCACTTATGCGTTGCTATTCCACAGAACTATTATATCATGCCTCTTATCCTGTAATTTCACTGCCTAATCTGACTCAACCAAACACGACAATATATTTGTTTGTGTGTGTGTGTATATACATATATTATGCATATGCATGGTGTGTATACATTACAAAATATATTTAATAATTACTGATAAGTGGTATGTGTGCAACAATAGTTGGTAATAAATATTTTCTTTCTTTCTTGCTCTCCTCTCTCTTTCTATCTTTCTACAAAGCAAGTTGCTTGGCGGCTGAAAAAGGCGAGACTGAAGTATCCACGCAGAGGCATTTACAGTTTACATCTGGTAATGAATCTTGAATTTTAGATTGATTTTATGGGGAATGAAAGAGTTAACTGACATTGTTATCGAAATATACATTCTAGTCTTGTTACGTCAAAAAAAAAACAGTACAAATATATATTCAAATCGAACATATTCAAGTATTATATGCAAGTCTTTTTTTTTATAACTATCTCTACCCTCCAGCTCTGTTCGCTACCTCATTTGAGAAGAATTGGAAAGAAATTTGACTGGTATATTATATTTTATATTATTATTTTTTGCGCAGTTTCAATTAATAAAAACACCATTAACTTGATTTTATATTGAAATAAGACTTCAGATTTTGGTCTAGAGTAAGTAGGTACTCTAGTCTGATTTTTAGCTGTTCACACGTTGTTTAAATGATATAGGTGTTTATAGTGGTTTATTTATTGTTAGTTATGTGAACTAATAACCCCATAGCTAGCAATGCACCATGCCAAGTTAACCTCCATGTGGTTCCCCCTGGAAACCATCGTGATAAATTCATGGTGAATTTACCACGATGGGCTGACTGATCTGACCTCATGCTCATCTTAATAACGTCCACTAGTTCCCTGCCAGCGTAAACCTTAGCGCAGGCAGGTGCACCACTCCATTATCATCCGTAAGAGTGGTGTATGGGTTGATGCATATGTATGCATCAACTCATACACTACTACGAGTTTATGACGTAGGTATGTACCTACGACATACCGTCATACAAACCACATTTCATACGTACAACAATGATCCTATTATGATATTAAATACCTAATAAAAAAAAAAAAATTTAACTATGCTAATATTATATAGAGGAAAGATTTGTTTGTTTGTTTGCACTGAAGAGGCTCCGAAAATATTAGACACTGATTTGAAAAATCTTTTACCATTAGATACCTACATTATATCTGAAGAATATAGGTTGTAGAATATTTTCAAAAACGTTAGGGATCTGTATGAAAACTTCGATAATGTAACCCAAAGTGTCAAAAAAATACTAAATAAAACTTTATATCGCGTACTCTGGGGTAATTATTGACAGCTTATAAAGGACATCAAAATCAAAGTTAAACGTTAAAAGATATCAATATGTTAACATATATAATTTTTAATTTAATATTAAAGTTGTCCCGCGAAACTTTGTTTTGCCATATAAATTAAAATCGTTATTAAAAAATAGGGCTTAGTGTGATAGAAGGTTAAAAATTAGGGTTGTATGTATTTTTTAATGCCACATTATAAAAAATAACAATTTTGTCCAAAAAATAAAAAAAAGGGGACAACTCTTATCACTTTATACATTATATATCATTTAGGGGTATGAAATAAAAATAGTAGCCGATTCTCGGACCTACTGTATATGCATATATAAACCTTCATAATCGGTCAAGCCGTTTCGCAGGAGCATGGTAACTAACATTGTGCCACAAGAATTTTATATATAAAATACTCGTACGAAGCCGAGTTTTTATATTATGGTTCTATAACAATGACCATTAGTAACTTACATCCTTATTTGGTTATGTGATTGTTCAGTAAGTAATTACCTATCAAAGTTGAATATTAATAATTTTACATATTCCCATGAGTCAACTATTGCATATCCGTAGTAGGTAATATTATAGTTTTAGTTAGACTTTGTAATGTGATGTACATGCGAAACCCTTGGTTCCGGCATAGGCACTCGTAGGTACACCATGTAGGTAAAAATCCTACACATCGCCTTGTCCTCCCTCCGGCGGGGTGAAAGTCTTTTGATTTTCCATGAGGTTTAATTTATAAAATGTCGTGTGCGTGGGGTTTTTTTAATTTCTAAATTTCAGCGCATTTGACAGCAATCTCGCTTGATGTTAGGCGATGATGCGGGCTAAGCTGATACACGCAAGCTCAAGTAATGCCTATTCACTCTTGACTTGAAAGACCCAATGTTTAAAAGTCAGGAAAAACAGACACTGGGCAAAAGTCCACTCCATATTTTCTGGCATAAGGAAAGAAGATGCTAAACGATTGGTACGAGCAGCAGGGATGTCAACAGTGTTTGGGTGGAGCCGCTAACTATGTCTTGTTGTAAGGTGGTGGATCTATGGGTACCTATTTCAGCCGCCGAGTGGCTTAGTTTATATACTCTGTTTCGATATTTACCTACAAGGTGTTATGGTTGCCAACTCCGACAAAAGATGATATTTACTTGACTTTAGATATATTAGTCTTGTATCCAGTCAAACTATCATGATGTACAAACTTACAATCTATTAGTAAAGGCAGTATTAATACTCGCGTTGTAGATAAATAGATAGATAATACATTTATTGCCAACATAACACAACGATTTACAAATAATATCTACACAAAATAAGAAATAACATACAAAGTTGGCAATAGGAGCTGTTGCTGATGTAAGTACAACCTCAACGAGGTGCACGTATACAGCGCCCATTACTCATTAAAAAAATTTCTAATATGCGGGTTTATTTCATTTATTTCATTAAGTCACTATGTACGTATAGGTCGCGTATTGTATTAAAAGTTAATATAATTAAAACATAAAAAGTATAACCATGAAATTAAAAAAATTAACAATTAAGTAGGCAATTATCTGGAATCCATATGAGTCAAAATACATACATGGTGGAGAAACAGAAGAAATTTAGAAGTCTTTGTAATTTTGAGTTTTCCCGCGGAAAACGTCATGCGCCACAGATACATAATATCGCACGGGGGACATTCGCAGTAGGATGACGAAGGAAACATAGCTGTATGAGATGTTATGTTAATCTATACTGTACAAATAAACAAAATTGAAATATTTATTTGGAATTTCAATTTAACAGCTTTCACTAAACCTGTACGAAAATATATTCAGTACTTATATAAACAAATTAGTAAAAAACAACTGTCTGTTTAATTGATAATCTCTGAAATGCCTTAACCAATTTTGTCGGGATTTTCACTCTCAGAAAGCTAATATTGTAAGGATTTACGTATTTATGTAGAGTTGAGTAGTAAGTAACTTAGTCTACTTTTATTGTAGAAATTTTATTTATTTTAATTAAAAAATTCTTAATTTCACGTATAAGTAGTAAGTAACGGATAGTACTAATATGTATAATTGACTTGGCTTGAATTAACACTATCAACTTGACCAGTGTTTCCCAAAGTGTGGCCCACGCGCCAACGGGCCAAGACCGTCATCTTTTTTTACATAAAAGGCCAAAAAAGAAAATGTCTGGCAACCCTGATGAATTGGTAGATCTGTGGCTCTGCCACAGAGTGTATTGTGTAATCAATTAGCGGGCACCGTGTCAGTACACGCAGACGATACACGTGGAGTGTAGCGTGCAGGAT